TGTACAATGCATGAATGTATGTACATACATTGTACATGCATACATACATTACATACATATGTACATTAAATTTATGTCTAAATATGTGTACAATGCAATAAATAAAATGCATGTAAGTTAACTTATAATGACTCAAGCAAGTTAAATGACAAAATCAAACGATATTTAAATTTAGTTTTCAGCTTTAATTGTTCTATGTCATTTTGAAATTCTTTGAATAAAGAACTATTTTCAGGAATTTTCATGAGATGTTTGACAATACAGATTTATTTTTTTATAATACAATGCATGGTTCATAGACATTTTTAAATGGCAAAAAAACGGTAAATTTTATGTGTGGAATTAATGTTTAGAAATTTAAAATAAAACTATCGTTTGCTTTCTAAAAAATATGAGCTCGAGTTTTATGTGCCTTAGAATAAATTTTAAAACAAACTTTAATAGCTTTACTTATATAAATTTTTTAATGTATGCGCAATGTATGTGTATATTGTAATTACATACATTTAAATGTACGCATGTATTTATACATTACTTGTAATTATGTATATGTATACGTTGTATGTACATACGTACATTGTGTATATAAATTTTTTTTGTACATCCATGCATTACATGCGAATAAGTATTAACAAAGTATGTAGTTATGCAAGTACATACGTACGTTGAACATAAGTACATACTTTGCATGTGCAAATATCGATGTACGTGTAAATGTACATGTATGCATTTTATTTACACAACTATGTGCATATATGGTACCTTTAAATAACATTCTCACATATTGTACGTAAATTCGTACAATTTTATATACATACGTATACGTGCTATTATCGTAAATTTATACAATGTATGTACTTAAGTACATAAAATCATGCAAGCGTATAAAAATTATTTTCATGTCGTTCATACATATATTTTCTATGTATACAAAGATACAAAACATTGCCTTTTCGTACAAACTAACATACATGCGTACATGTATCATAAATGCATAGTTATATGTACTAAGCGTATACGTATTGCATTAAGTATAATGCAATATAATTATGAATATTGTACATACAAACAACGTTTGTGCATACATTGCATCTATAAGAATCACAAATTGTACGTTCATGCTTGCGTGCATTCTATGTACATAAAAATATATAAACTCATACATACATACATAATGAATTTGCGTATAGTATACAAGTGTAATAGCTTGTAATCGTATAGTTTGATTACAAGTAATCACAATTGCATGTAATCAAATTACATGTAATCGTGATTACGTGTAATCATATATTTTGATTACTTGTAATTATAATTACCCGTAATCGTATTCGTTGTGATTATTTGTAATCGTAATTACTTGGAATCATGATTACAAGTAATTGATTACTGTAATCAAAATTGTAATCATGATTACAGCTGTAATCGAAATTTTTTTAAAGTTGTAATCATGATTACAAGTAATTGATTACTGTAATCGACTATGTAATCATGATTACATCTGTAATCAAACTTTGTAATCATGATTACAAGTAATTGATTACTGTAATTGAAAAATGTAATCGATTACATTTTCGCTCTACTCTGATGTAATCAAAAATTTTGATTACTTGTAATCGTGATTACAAGTAATTGATTACATAGCTGTAATTATCTGTAATCAATTACAGTTGTAATCGATTACTGTAATCGACGGCCAACTCTGCAACGAAGTTTGTTTTACCGCGAGCATCTGTAAATGTCCTACTAGTGCAAGTGGATCAAGAAAAGAGTAAATGGTTAAAAATATTTCTATATTACACATTTTCTGATGCTTACATTTGTATACATTTCAAAATAATTTGAATAGAGGAATTAGTGCAACTTGTTTTTAATGCTGGAAAAGTTATAGCTTATATAAATAACACTTTTAATCTAAATAAACTCTATAGTATTTATTTTCATCCTTAGAATTAATTAATGCAATCAAATATTAGAAATCTATTTTAGCTTAAAGTACATATAACCTGGTTTATACCTTGCACTGAGGCGGAATCGGATTAATATGCTTTGCAAACTCATCTTTGCAAATTTCACGAGCTAGCTGCAGGAGAATTGTAGGTTACTTTCTTACACTTTATCCAGTTTAATTGCATCATGTAATATTATTGAAAACATCCAGTAAATTTTAAACAAAATCCCTCACGAAATGAATACTGAGCACCAACCAGTTTTTATAAGGTTTTCAGACCTGTTTTGAACAGAACGCGCCATTTAATCATCGCCCTTCAAGTCGATAGTCATTTAAATTTTTTTTACTGGCAACTGTTGCGAAAACGCAACATTCCAGTGATACAAAAATACCTTTACAAAAAAAGTGTTTGGGCATTTAGGCTTAGACTAATTTGATATTTTCCAGAGTTGACTACCTCTTTACAATGCAAAAAATTCCGGGTGAAATCATAGAGAAAAGTACCGGCTCTCAGGGTGCCGGTACTTTTTACCGTAAAATTCGTTCGTACCGGAACGTGTTAAGGAGCAAGGAAATCTGATATACATTAATTTTTACAGTAATAATAATTAGAGTGAAATCAATGAATCCGCCTAATTAAATAAATATTACTGTAAAAATTACGGTTTAATATTTTACGATAAAAATGGGTTTTACTGTAAAATGGATTTTATGGATGATGTACCTAAAGTCCTGATACTTTATATTGTAATTTGAACCGGATTTTTTTAAAGTGTATCAGTGTAAAGTTTAAAGTGCAGTTTTAAAATGTATCAGTCACCTAATTTCAGATAAAAAAAAATATGTATTTATATTACTAATATATTATGGTAAACATGCCTCGTTTCTCTTCATTACATTTTAATAATTAAATAATTGAGTCACCAGCATTAATCTTTTTGGGAAAAAGGTACGTAGAGACGCTGTTACTTAATGGGCTAAAAATGTTTTGTAAATAGCACGTTGCCATGATTGCTAATTGCTTTGTGAGTAATTCTTGATATAGCGAATTACTAAAGAAAGACAAGGTTAAGGACAGAAAAGAGCGCGTTTGGTAAACCAGCAAATCTGCATATCGACATTATAATGAATTAGCAAATCAATTTCAATCAGTGAATATTCTAATCAATGAACTGGTGCACCGGGGAATCAATATGAGAATCGATAACCACAATTTTTTTTTAATTGATTTGTTTTTGAAAGTGAATAAATAATTTATATTGTTTATTTTTTAATATTATAGTTAATTTCTGAGCTGTTCATTCGCTTTTTTTTTCTTTCTGCAGGTGTATTTGTTTTTGAGCTCTGCATTTTTACTTTTAAGTTCATTTTTCTTAGACGATAATCACATTTGTTTTTATTTTTTCCTCCGTTTCCCGTGATTCATTTATTATTTTTAGAAAAAAAAATATTTAAATCGTATTGACAGTATTCTTCGTACTGGTATTTCCATTTTTAACTTTGGAGTTCTTTTCTACTATAACCTTTTGCCTGTATCTGTATCTCATCCCTTCTTCTAATAGTTGTTTGCAAAGCTTATAAGTATCTTTCCAGTATTTTAAACTGGTAAGATTAAATAAATCACCTAATACGTTACCGATTTAACGCAGCAAAAAAGTACCGTAAACAAAAACTGAAAATGCTGGAAAATCTCTGTGTTTAGATTTTCAGTAAGAAATATTTTTACACATAGATGACGGTTCCTGCTTTTGCATCAAAACAATCGTCTATCTTTGGTAAGTACATCAGTTCTGTTCTTTTATGTTGTTGTTCTACTTTATTTCAATTTATTATCTGTATAGTTGTCGATATAAGCTTTCAAATTCTTTGTATGAAATCATTTGTTTCTAGAACAATATTTCGATCTGTCTCATTTTAATATGTCTTGTCATAACATACATGAAAACGTGAAAAATACCCCCAAATGTTTTGAGTAAAGAATTTCATAAATGCCACATTTTCGAAATCGTGTTTCAGTTTTTAATTTAAAATTTTTATTTTTAATATGTGATATAACAACAATTACTCTTATACAAATATTAAGAATAAGATAACCCCTTTTTTAATTGCAAATTGTGCATCATTATTTTGCAAGCTGTGTATAATTTAAATGTTGAATTTAACACTTTTTTACAAAAATTGAAAGAGGATTGAATAAAGAACAATGCTTAATTTAACATGTTTTTAACAAAAATTGAAAGAGGATTGAATAAGGAACAATATGTTGTTGTATTTAATTATAACATATTTTTAATTAATGAGTTAGAAAAAATGATTTTCCTTGAATTAGAAACATTTACATTTTCAACGTTTTCTTTTTCTTTTTCTTTTTTTTTGATTATTTTTTTTTAAGAATTTACTTTCTTCTACGCTGACTGAAAAATAAAATAAGCATAACCATTAAAAAATGCATCTTTTTCTTGAGATTAACACCTCACGTGTTCGTATATTCCTTCATAAGCAATGTTCAGCTGTCCATCAACTGAATAAAAAAAAAAGTTGTTTGTTATTTATACCTGTTGTTCACTTTCTCTTAACTCAGCTGATGAAAAATAGAAGGAAGAAGAATAAAAGAAGTATTAAAGTGCGAAAGAAATTTTAAAACACAAACAAAAAAGAATTAGGTCTCTCCCTCGAAACTTTGATGCAAAAGTTAAAAGAAGAATAAGAAAAAAGAAGATAAGGGAGTAAATATACAGAAATGTATAGAAGAAAAGAAGCAGGAAAGATTCGCTTGGACGATCTGTACATAGAAGAAATCGTTTGCGCTTGGGGCCAACCAACATTCAAACACAAAATATGAGGACCAGTTCGAAGTAGGCTAGTGAGATCTAACTTCGCACACCTTTCCTCTTTCAACTCCCACCATCCTATTCTCCACAACTATCGTCTGCTCTCAAGTGAACGACCTGTTGCTATTCCTATGACGTCAGCAGGTAAGCCTATTTTTGGTTGGCGGGAAGGGGTTCCACAGTATGATTTCATTCCCCCCTTTCGATATAAAGCAGGGATAGTTTTAGTTTAGCGCTTCAGTTCTGTTCTTGTGTAGTTTGGTTTGGAACTGTGAATTTCTCGATCTCCTTGGACTAACTGTTATTTTGGAATCCTACCATCTTTTGGGATCTTTTTTGCTCCTATTAATTCGAATCTTTGAACACAAGGCTGAGCCAGAGGCCGGCCCAGAAGGAATTATTATAGGTTAGTATGCGAAAGTTTTTTTCTTTTCCCCACAAAAACACTGGTGGTTTCCAAAAAGTGAAACTGAAAGTTATAGAGAAAACTCTGTTGGACTTTACTTCTGTGCTTCAATATTTCATTTTTTAAAAATCAGTGAAATATTTGAATTGTTGTAGTACTCTTACTGTTTTTAAAACCAACTAATATAACTTATCAACTTGCTATATCGTGATTTACAAAATCTATTCCATCAATTTTTAACTTTGTAATTTAAAAAAACAATGATCTTCATATTTCTTTTGAAGAACATTGAAATGCCCTTTTTTTAATTGGATTTAATATACAGATTCAAATTAGAAATTTGAATACTAGAATTTAAATTAGGCTATGTTAAATTTTATTTAACAACATAATTCATGGTTCAGTCATTATAAGAAGAAAAAAAATTTTCATAAAATAATAAAACTTCAAAAAATGTATTTATTTACTTGTAAGCATGTTTATTTATTTTGTATTTTTTACACAAATTGCATACATTTTCATCTAATTCGTAATTACGGCAGATATATTGAAGTTACTCTTTAACTAAGTTTCTTTAAAAATGCATGCTTTATGTAACAAAATATAAAATAGAAGAAAATATTGATTTCCAACTATCTAATAAAAGTTAAAAGATATTTATTTTATAAATTAGTCTGATGTTATTTTAAAGCTATCCAAAACACTTAATTTTTTCCAAATTTAAGTTTTTTATTTTTCTTGTTGTGTGAATTATGTTTTAAAGTCAATCTGCCTTAGAAAAAAAATGCTTTAATGAATAAAGTTCATTATCACTTCATAGAAAAATCTTTTAGTAAAAGAAATAATCGTATTCTGATATCTATCAAAATATATTGATATTAATGCATTATAAGTTATCTCATTAAGTACATTATGAAATTTAATCTGAAACAATTCAAGCAAGGTTTGAAAGGGAAAAAAACATACTCCTTAATAAGTTGTTTTTTAGTTTAAAATTCGCAAAAGGAGATATTTCATGCTTAAATAACGTAAAAAAATATTAATTGTATCATATATTATCAATGATGTTATGATAATCATGATTTTTTCCTTTTGTAATGAAACTGTCTAAAATGGTTAAATGACTACATAAATTACAAAATTTTAATTTTAAAATATTTATCTTAATCTAAATTGCTTCAGACCATTAGCGAATGGCATTTTTCAGATGAAAAGTTAATAATCTAACAAAAAAACAATAATGCTTTTTAACATGAATTATATAATGTTAAGCTGCGGGATTTACTATAAAATTTATTTTATTAAAAAAGCACTATTTCCAAGAAAAATTAGTTCAAAAATTGAGGAAACATTTTTCAAGCTTTGCGAAAATTTAAAAGTCTCCTTCAATTTCTTCCTGCATCAATATGCGCTCTGACCGGTTTTCAGTTTGGTTTCGTTTTCTTTTTCATCCAATAACGGTACTTCCCTGTTTCGTAATGGAGCTAAGCGAAGGAACTCGCAACCCGTTTTTGAGGAAGTTCTGTAATGTTTGCATTTGTAGTTCGTAAACTTTATCAAAAAGGGAAAAAAAAAGCTTAGTGAAATAGCAATAAAAAGTGAAATTCGTTGATTTCTCACCTGACTATATTGATATGAATGTAACATGATATTTTGATATAGATAATTTGACTAAAATCAATGTTATTTTTAAACAAAATATTCGATTCATAGGCAAAGAACTAAAAGCATATGTATTTTCATAGTTTTTTTTTTCTTTTTTTTCCTTTTATTTCAACCAAATTAGCGTATTTTAAAAGAAGTATTAATACTTTTTTGTGGAAAAATAAAAATAAAAAGTGGTAAAATTACAGTTTTAAATATGGGTAGTTGTTAAACTGTTATATTAAGATCTTCATTTCACAAATCTCGTAAAGCAAAAAAAAAGGTGTGAGTTTTAACCTTTGCAATCCTGACGATTGTCGAATGTTATGTTGGAATATTCCATCTCGATTTTGCAAAAAAGTGGTAAATAGAAAAAATATGAGAAAGTGGAAAAATAGGAAATTGGTAAAATTTAAAAAACGTTTGATAAGTTTAAATTTAATAACGCCTCGAATTCACTAGCCTTAAAATATAGTTTTGTTTTCAAAGTTAAGCTTAAATACTGGAGTACATGGAAGTTTATTAATATAACTTCCGTAAATTACAGGGGGAAAAACAATTGGTAAAATTTTAAAGTTTAATAACGTTTGATAAGTTTAAATTTAATAATGTCTCGAATTCACTGGCCTTGGTTTGGGACAAATGTTTAAGTATCCTAACTTAATTTGAAATATAGTTTTACATTTTCAAAGAGCCGTACTTAAATAGTAAAGCACATGGAAATTTATTACTAGAACTTCCATTAATTTATTGCAACAATAAAACATCATTAATTAACATTCGTCTTGTAAAAGTAGCTCATTTTAAATGCATAATTATGAAATTTCGATAAAAAAAAAAGAAGAAAACACCATTATCAGCATATATTATTTTCATTGTTAAACCAAAAAAATTCATCAGTAGCTTAAAAGTGTGCTTAAAAATATCAATTAATAATAATATTATTAGTCTGTAAAATTTCAAGTAATTTATACAACTACTTAACATGAGGCTAAATTTTACACTCATTTCTTAATTTGGATTAATGCCATGAATGTTTAATTCTCGCTTTATAATACTTATAGTTTCATTTACGAATGTCTAAATATTTGATAATAATATCCTACAGCCAATACTTAATACATTAGTTAGAAAAAATAAAAATAAGAGAAATCTATTTTCTGAACACACAAAGCATTCCATTATTATTCTATTAGAAAGGGTTTAAGGGGGCAATAAATTTTGACTATGCATTATATTAGGTGGAGAAAAAAAGATCTTTTTCAAAATACCTTATGGTTCATTTACCAGACATAGGGAACTAAAAATTTAAAATAAAAAATACCAATAAAAATTTATTTTTCCTTTGAATATAAGCTTGCTTATTTAAAATACATTTTAAGCAGAGCATTATAAGAGAAGAAACTTATTTTTTCTTGTTCAATAAAAATTGTTCAAAAGAGATGCAACTACACATAAATGAATTTTTAAATCATGATTTCCACTTTGACAGTCTGTTTATTAGGAAAAAAATGCCACGATGTAAATTTTTGTGTCGTATGACATTCCTGAATAACATTTGAATAAAAAATTTCACCACATAATTTCACCACATCACCACGTTATATGTTTGAGAAGTTTTCTTCTTGCATTTTAAGAATAAAATTTTTTTAAATAATTTAAATGTCCGAATTCTTTTTTCATCATGATTTGAATCTCGAAATAAAATCAATGGATTTAATATGATACTAAAACAACCAAATGCTTTTAACTTTAATATAGGATTTTAGGACATAAAACAGCATTGTGCTAGAATTAAATTAAAATAACTCTAAAAGCATAATTTTCGTTTAAAAATTTCTTGATACAAAATAAACTTTTAGAAACTTAGCGAAACTCATTACTATGAATTAAATGCCCATTTTCGTCACTTAATTTAAAATATTAAAAACATGATATTCATTTGAAACTTAACATTTTGTTAATAGTTATACAATTGAAAGATTTTTGATATTTAAATTCTATAGGACGCGATAAAATAAAACTTAAATATCTCCACGGTCAAATCTCAATTTTTCAAATTCAACCTGAAATCAAATTGAAAAATATTTAAGTAAACCTTTGCTAAGTAGTGTTTTGATTCATTCGAAAAATTTCTAATATTTAGGGACGTAATAGGATAAACTACGCGTAAAAAAAATCTATAAAATATGTGAGATTCCAAAAAATAAAAAAAAATTTATTTTTTGCATTCATATTTACTCAATTCGGGTTGCACCCAAATAACGTGAAGTGTTTAGAGCCCCATAAAATGTACAGAGCGAAATGGGGGGGAAATGGAATAAACGAGTTCAACATTTTCAGATTTAAAAAAATTTGATAACAAAAGTTGCTTGATGGTGAAATTTAGCTCTGCAAGCATATTACGGGTGAAAGAGAAATATATTTTGTCAACTGAAACAACAATAAGTAACATCTTTTCAACAATTAATAAGAAACAGAATTTTATAATATAATCTGTACAACTGTGACTGACTCAGTATACATGATATTTTGATGTTTAAGTAATTGTATGTTATGCCTGAAGTGCTAAATTTTCTCTAACTGGGACTTTTTGTACTATTTTTTCAAAGAAATCGCATATTTTATATATATAACTGCATATTTTGCTGAGTACAATACATTTAGTGAAGAGTTTTCAGATTCTGTCCAGCATATCATGCACAGAGAAAAAAACTTCTGGTAAAATTACCGTACTGTATAGTAATGGCATTTTTTTTAAATTAAAAAAAAAAACTTAATTTTGTTTATTAAAGTCAAACTATACGGTATTTAAACTATTGTTTTTCTGATTCATATACTCACGGTTTATCGGAAATTCTACTTGTTTTTCAAAATTGTAGTCTATATTGTCACACATTTAGTAAAATATTCATAATTGAAAAGTAAATTTAACCGAATAAATAGTTTTTATACCATGCTCTAAAGTATCATAATAAAATTACCAAATTCCCCCACATTCACCTAATTTTATCACATGTTATGAAATTATATTTTATTGTTAATTTTATCAAACTCATTACCAGTGTGTTCTGGTATAATTTATCGAGCTTTTTAGTGTTCAAATAGAGTCAGAAACGCGGTAAATTTCAGCATATTCTAGTAGTTTTAACCTTATTTTTTTTCTCAGTAAACATTATAGAGTTCTAAACATCCTCGAGCTGTTTTATGTACAAACTGTAGAAATATATGAAGTCATTAAGATGGAAAAATAAATATAACATTTTCTTCTTTAAATTGCGAAAACTATTGTTGAGTTTGACTGTGAAAATAAAACTCTACAATACCGAACCAGGGCTTGATACGTGACGCCATTG